TCCTCTCTCGCGCTTAGTCTCTCATTCCCTTAGCACAGCCGATTAGGAAGGTGAGTGAGCCCTAACCTAAGCGTTTTCGACGGATTCTTTTCCTTTTTTCTTCACTGCCGGCCCACTTGGCACCGATACATTCACATTCGTGTGCAAGAGCCACACCAATGCGATCCTGGGGCATGCCTTTAAAATAAATACAATGTGAAAACATAAACAAACCCTGAAGTGGTACTGCACTGATTGAACTGCGAGCTGGGTAATACGCCAATACGCAAACCATACAAATATTTGGTATGACTAGTTACTTTGGACTGATTAATCCCTACTCATCAAATTCAGGGTCTGTAGGGGCAAATTACGGTACCATTTCCATGAAATTGAATGTGCCCTCAAAGCATAGATTCGAGTTCAAGTACTATTAGAAAGCTCTATTTCGCCCTTCAAAGGAATAGCTCACGGAAGCAGCGTGATTTCGTCTTGGCCAGAAAAACCTCAGAAGCCGTGTTCCATGACCATAACAAAAAGAACAGAAGAATTAGCGTTGCTTTCGATAATAATTCGGAATAATTAAGTAAACAATAGTGATTTGAATTCCCGCCGTAAAACTTTCATAAATCTTGATGATGGGGAACTAACATGTGCCGGCGTGTTGAGAGTCAACAAAACGGAACTTAACATCAAATCTCTCCAAAACCTTACACGTGGTCGCAATTACAACTCTTCCATAAGCCACTTTTGGCTCCGCCCTTGCTGGCAGCAGCCATCCAGGAGTGAAGTCTTCCCCAAACTGTTATTTTTTCAGTTTTTCTTTTCTGAAAGATTTGCGCATGGTCCTGTTAAGCCCCAGAAACACAATTAATTGGGCAGAAGAAAAGATCTTCCCGAACGATGCCTCAGATTCAGAGCCCTCTTTATAGCCTATGTGTTGCGAAGTTCGCTGAAAAAAAATTGAAGAGAACAATCGACCAATCAATCAATCAACTTTTCGTCAATGCTCGGCTTTGGATCTGCCTCTCCAGCTAGAGTGAAAATCTGTAACGTTGAAAGCCCTAATGGGCCCTATCGCAAGTTACGGGGGCATTGTTGGTGGCAATGCACTTGAAACTGCGGAAACGTCCCTTTGGTTGAAAATGGGCCAAGCCTCAGGCGGGAAAGAGAGACTCCAGAATGTTCAAGCAATTTTCTTTAGTTCCTACTTCCTTCTAGGGTTTGTCCGAAAGGATGCCCCGTATCTGGCAAGTGCGCCCTCTAATATATTTATTAATTATACTTCCGACATCTTGCCATTCTTTCGCACTGCTTTCGTTGCTCTCCCTCAAAAATTCATTTCAGGTTCATCAACGCTCGACGACGTATTGTGCAACCGATGATAGATCAGAGTAATCGAGCTGGTCGAGCACCGGCCGTAAGCGTGTTCAAAAATCGAAGGCGGAATAGGAGCGACCAAAGCCCCGGGCCCAGTCCAGGTGAGGTCTCAAATTGACTACTGGAAGCAGCGCCTCGTTCTTCACAAATATAATAATTTCTGGTGTAATTTGAAAGCTTCCCACGCGATAAAAATCACTTACATGAATAATAAATAAGACCATCGAAAATTTGTCCAGCATTTC